CTGAGAGCACATCACACTGAGAGCACATCACACTGAGAGCACGCTCACCCTGACAGCACACTCACCCTATTACCACACCCACACTGACAGCACACTCACCCTATTAACACACATCCTGAGGGCACACTCACCCTATTAGCACACTCACCCTGAGAGCACACTTATCCTGGCAGCACACTCGTGCTGATAACACACTCATGGGTTATCTCCAGGGGCTTTCCCAGCTCCTGCAGCCACCCCCTTCCCAGGCTGGCTGGTCAGTGACCCACTTCCCAAAAGCTGCAGTCATGTCCAACATGATTGGTGAGTAAGTGCCCTGTTAAAGCCGTACCTGCTGAAGGATTAAGATCTGTAAAAARGAATGGGAGGGTGCTGGGACCCCAGGACCCCCCAACAGCTGCCTGGGTGCTGCCTTCCTCTGCTGCASGAGCAGTGCACTCTGCTGTCTGCAGCCCACACTGCAGGGCCCAGCAAGTTACTGCTCCCATGAATTCTCCAGGAGAGCACACTCCCTGTTTTTAACAACAGCAACTAACTCAAAAGTTTAGGTTAACTTTCAGTTTACCTAAAAAGCATTCCTCTAGAAATTTGTAAATTGAGATGAAGGGAAGATAATAAAGGCTAAATGCTCTCTTCTCAGCACTCTTGGGCCACAGAGGTGAACATCAGGTCTGGTTCACTGTCATTAAGGTTCACTTGTTGCAGCCTTCCAGAGTATATTCAAATAAACTTGTCTACAGCAAGTGGGATACCCYAGATCCTCCCCTTCTGCCCTGGAAAACCAGGAAGGGGTCCAGCAGCATTCCATACCTGTTCATCCACCACCTGACAGATGAGGAGACCTTTCTCTTCCACATGCATTGGAAGGGAGATGGAAAAGGGGAGACAGACTTGCTTTCCCTTTTCAACAGGCATTTCAGGTTTCCACCTTCCCATAGACAAGCCAGAGCAATTCCACATCCTTGGTCTGTTTCTCCAGCCTTGATTGCTGTTCMTGGTGTCAATGCTGATTTTCACACTGCACCTCATGGTGTGTGAGGGTCAGGCAATCCCTGTTATCTCTGAGGGGGTCTTTCCCAAGCTATCATTCAGCCTTCTGTTGCATGGGGATATTGCTCTGCACCTGCGCTCTCCTGAGACTATTCCTCCCTCTCAGCTGTTGCAGACAGAACTTCACCTAACTCTTGTCCCAGATTGCAGTTTTCAGGCCTAAATGGCTCCTTGGATTAGCTTTCAGGACCCACTCTGCTCATATCACTGTAGTAGAACAACCCTTCATTATTCAGCGTGGAGAAAATGAATTGGGAAAGAAGTTACTTTAAGTGCACAGACCGAGGCACAGCAGAGACCCCATGCTGGGGAGTCCCAGCCTGGAAAGCACGGGTCAGCCTCTTCCATAGCACCAGGAGTTAAATTGAAACCTACTGTTGTGATGTCTGAGACACAGCTGGACCAGCTGCTCCTTGCTGGGAGACTGGGAAATTCTTATATCATATGATATCATACCTTATATCATATTATATCATATATATCTATCATATATAAATATATATTATATACTATTATATACTATTATATATAAGATATCATATTATATCTTATATTATATCATATATTCATATGAGTGTTGAAAAACCTGATCACTGTGAGCTGTAGGAATCGATGCTCTGGACTCCAATCCCTCCCTGCTCATGGACTAAAGGGATCCTACAAAGACAGTCTTGGAAATAATGTTTGGAAATGGACCAGTGCTCAGCTTAAATGGTCACAACATGCTGGAAGCAGGGCCTCCACCTTGACCAGATCTCACAGCAAATTTTTTCATAAAAAGCAGCCAGACCTTCCATTATGCATGAAAACCATGGGCTGGGGTCAAATCTGCTCCACTGATCCAGCCCCTGCCCCGTCAAAAGGATGAGGCAGATGAACAGCAATCTGTTGATATAAAAGAACATGGATATTATCCCTCCGCTAGCAATCTTCAGCTTTTAACATTGTTTTACTTTTCTGAATCCTTCCCCTCCTGATAGGCAACAGAGAGCATGACCTGCATAGCTGAGCTTGACTGAGATAGAGGTGTTCAGTCCTCAAAAAAATTGAACAGTGCACCTTTCACTCCTCAGTCACTTTTTAACAAGGCTACCTACTAGGTGAGAAGTGAACAGTGCAGTCCTCAGTTGTAAAAGCCCAGGAGTTTCAGGCTTTTAATGCAGAATTACTTCTGTTGCTCACTTAGAAGGCAGGCATGTGAAAGAGAGACATATTCTRGCTATTTGACAACCAAACCCCTTGCCCTCAGTGTGCCACAGCTTTCCATTTGGAAAGGCTTGCTTTGYTCCCCATACTGTATGTCACACCACACCTACATGAAACCCTTCTCACACTGCTCAGTGCCCTGCTAACCCTGGTGTTCTGCCAGCTTTTCCTACCTTCCTGCAAAAGCAAGGGAAAGGCCTTGCAACATCGCACACTGTGTGACAACAGTCCTAGGGAAAAGCACAGGGTGATGATGTTACTCTTTGCCTCGTTCTGTAAGGCAGTGATGTTATTCTTTGACGTTCTGTAATGTATCGTAGAATTCACGAGGTTTTTSGTAAGTTCAGCGGTAAATCATCAGGTGAGAACRGTTACTCATTGCCAAATTRACCCTGGCTATGGGGAGCAAGCCAAACAGAAGAGCTGCCAATGACAGCTGTGGAAAGAAAGTCAAGGGTTTGGGAGAGCAGGTTTATAGGTAGGAAACCTTGGGAAAGCAGCTGAGAATTATTCACATCTGAAACATTTCTGGCCAGAGTAAAGAGTGTCACAGTACATTAGCAGYAACCACCTGTCAGACTCACTGACAGCCCCATCACTTTGACAAGGGCAGTRGAATGGGCAGGACTGACCCAGGAGCTCCACAGAGGTGAAGAATCCTCATAGAGAGGAGTGAAGATATAAAGCTACAGCATCTTGCATTGCAAAGTATCCAAAGCATACAATCCCGCTCCTTTTACAGGCTGAAGGGTTGCCTGAATTTAAAAAAAAAACTTTACATAAAAGAATTTTATTACTCTCAATTAGACAAAAAAGTCTTAACCTTTTACAAACAGGATACTTTGCAGGACAAGGGGTGTTGCTAAATATGTCCTCCTCTTTGAGTTTCGGGGTCTTTTTGGATACTTTATATACTGAGCATGATGCCCTATGGTGTGGAACATCCCTTTGATCAGTTTGGGTCACCTGTCCTGACTATGTCTCCTCCCAGCCTCCCAGGCATCCCCAACTTCCTAACCAGCAGCCGCACAAAAAGCAGGAAAGGCCTTGGTTCTGTGTAAGCCCTGCTCAGCAATAACGAAAACATCTCTGTATTATCAGTTCTGTGTTCAGCACAAATCCAAAYCACAGCCCCTTACCCGCCACTGTAAAGRTAACTAACTCTATCCCAGCAGAAACCAGCAGAGCTATTTAATCATTTCAGGCTGAAAACCTTAAAGCCAAAGAACTAACTCCTGTGCATGTGAAAGGGGAAAATGTGAAAACCCTATGGCCAAAATTACCTTGAAAGAATTCCAGAATATGCTGAAATGCATGACGACAGTTTATCCTTTCACAGGAGAGACAAGGAAAYACTGTGGAGAACTGGCAATTGCTCCCAGCCCAGCACAGTATTTCTGTATCAACAACTCCATGAGAATTAAGCAACATTCACAAAACACAAGATGGAATACTATCTCTAGCATCTTTGTTTCCTAAAATACTAATTCACAGTTAATATTTTGGTCTATATCCGGTCATTTAAAGTGTCCTGTGCAGAACCACATCTGTGATCTCCTCACAGTAAAATTTCTGAAGTCACATTCAGCTGTTCATTACTTTTTGTCTTGGCATCATCAGGAACATGCTTAGTTCTAGCTCACTTTCTCACCATCAAACAGTTGGTAGRATTTCTCAGTTTTCAAGATTGAGGTGGCATGAAGTGTGTCAAGTCACTGAATTATCTGTGTTGTTTTGGAGACAGAACACCAAGATAAATGGTAGCAAAGCTGGTGCTTAATATATCTAGAAAAATCCAAAATTAAGACTTTTTTGGGGGGAAAAAGTAGTCTTTGCCTATTTCCCAAACTGTAAATGGTCACATCCTGGTCTCATGCATCTTGTTTCTGTAACTTTAAATGGGTGCAGTAAAGTGTCAAAAGCACGAGTGGTAAATGTGGCATTTTCTCAGCCCCTTGTTTCAAGTTCGCTCATTGTGGCTGTTGCAGTTTCATGCTCAAGCTGAAAGTGATCTCAGTGAGGCTGCTGGGAAGGATATCCAGAGGTTCCAGGATGCTCTCATGAATCAYCCAAACGTTCCCACCACTTTCAGTGATCCCTGTGCTTGTGCAGACTCGGGGACCATTCATGGAGGAATTCACCGTAAAAAGCAGAAATGTCACTGGCATAATTGCATTTAAAAACCAAAATCCTAATGCTCGTGTGAGCTATCAGAGTACTTGCTTTATTAGAACTCTGTATTGCTGTGAAGATGCAAGGGTGTTTATGGCTGGTGATTTACAGACTTCAGTAATGGTCCCTCCTACCATGTGAGAAATGAAGCTGTCTACGTATTCACAGCCAGATGGGTTTCACACTGTATTTTTCAGGGAATTGATTTCTTCAGTAAGAAAGSCACAATTCCTCCTGTGAGTATTTTCTAAGTAAACTCTTCGCAGACAATCATGAGATAAAAAGCACATGTTCATTTTTATTTTCAATTAATCTGGACAATACTTTTATTATAGAATTACAAAAAAAAATAGATTTGCTCTGTTCCTACCTCTTTAGGTACTGTAAAACTAGCCCTAGGAGTGAATGTACATACAACTGATTGAATTCTCATTCCACATTTCTCAAGCAAGGTACAGATACTGTTACCTATAAAGATGTCATTTTAAGTATTTCTTAATACAGAAAGTATTAAGAATTTCCAAAGTGAAAAAGGAATTCAGATGCCATAGATCATGTCATGGACAACACCGTATGATGAACAATTGCACTTTGGGCTTAKATAAAATTTACATTTTTATCTGAACTAACACTATCATTATTGAAACACTATACTTCTTACAAGCTCCACTTTTRTATGTTTACAAGTTTTGTGGAGTTTGCTTTTACCCCCCAAGGAAGACTGTTTGACATGGAAGACAATCTGTGAATAAATATGGAAACACAGTTTTAATAAGAAAACCATAGGCCTCATTTGCTGCTACTGAGCTTCCAATGTCTTTATAAAGTACTTCTGTACAAAATCTGTACATGTGTCTCACAGAGATCAACATTATACTTTACCTCAAGACTAAAAATATCCAAATTCAGGCTTTGTTGCAATCATAATCGATTTTTAACTTAATCTGCCCATGAGGTTTTTTCAACGGGTCATAACAGATGTAAATGATCTTGTGTTTTATCCGTCAATGACAAAAATCACATGTTCAGTGGAATATTTTCACTTCACATCACTCCCTGAATTTTCAATAACCCCGCTTCTGTTTTTCTTCTTTATCAAGAATAGCCTGTTTTAGACTCAATGCAGCATCTTCAAACTGGGGGTTTAACTCTAATACTTTTCTGAAATCTTTCATGGCCTCATCAAAGTCTCCTGTCAAAAAAAAAAAAAAAAAAAAAAAAAAAAAAGAAAAAAAAAAAAATAAAATTATCTTTCTGCAATTGGTCACACTCACAAATCTCTCACAATTCAAGAACACCTAACACTTTCATCAACAAGAAGTCACAGCTATTCACTGGATCAACTACATTTGGATTCTCCACAGGCCCAAGTGGGAGTCAATGTGTTTCACAGCAAGAGTATGGATTCACAGAGTATCTATTTTTTTGAACCTCAAATGGACTTATGGCTTAATTCAGCYAGTTTATTCCAAGAAAAGAAGACAAAGGGCCCACACCAATGAGGCTGCCTTACAGCTGGCACCCAGGCACAGATCTTCCATCTGGTGCCCATGGTCTGGCTCCATTCTCCAGTCCCCCAACCTCTGCAATGGCTGAGCTCCAACAAAAACCACACGGCTGTCATTTTGTTATGGCATCATTAAAAACGGGRCAGGAAATTCCCCAGAGGTGGCCAGCAGCCCACTGGAAGCTGAGCAGGCTGTGGYCACTGCAGCTACACCTTTAGGTGTACACCTTCAGGAAATGCTTTATCTCAAGTTTAGTCATAGTGTTTGGAACTGGCTTGTTTTACCCMAGCACAAATTTTTCCAGAAGTAAAACTGGAAAACCCCTTCCTCCTACTTCCCACTGAATAGCATCGTTTCGATTGACACAGCAGCACCTCTGGGAACAGGGGGCTGTCCCTGCACACACGGGGCAGCAGCAGCTGAAGGTGCTGTCGCTGCTGAGAACGCGTGTCCCGCCTGTCCTGGAGCGATGCCCGCCCGTGTCCCCGCCCATGACCCGGGGCCGCCCGGGTCGCGCTGCCCTGCCCTGCCCTGCCCTGCCCTGCCCCGGCCCGGCCCGTACCCAGGCGGTAGCGCACCAGCCCGCGGTTGTAGTAGGGCACCTCGAAGCCGGGCTGGCACTCGATGGCGGCCGTGAAGTCCTGCACGGCGGCGGCGAACTCGACGCGCAGGTACCGCACCTGCCCGCGCTCATTGAGCGCCGTGGCGAGGTCGCTGCGGGCGCTGCGGGGACAGAAGGAGCGGCGTTAGCGGGGCCCCGCCCGGCGCACCCGCCCCGCTCCCCGGGCCCGGCGTTACCCCGCGGGGCTGCGGGCGATGAAGCGGCTGAGGAGCTCCTCGGCCGCCGAGAGCCGCCGCTCCCGCAGCTCCGCCTGCGCCGCCCTCAGCAGCGCCGCCGCCTCCCCCGCCATCGCGCTGACGTCACGAGCGGCCCGCGCGCCCTGACGTCACGGGCGGAAGGGACCCGCGCGCCCCGTGAGGAGAGGGGCGGGGCTGGGGAAGGGAAAGCGGGACACGCACAAAAAATGCAATATGTTAATATTTACAACACGAAAGGGAGAGGGACGGGGCTGGGGAAGGGAAACCGGGACACACGCACACAAAAAATGTAATATGTTAATATTTACAACACGAAAGCAACACGGCCAGGGAGGTGTCTGCTCCTCTGTCTCTCTCTAGGGAAACCCCCACCTGCGATACAGCGTCCCGCTCTGGGGCCGCAGCACAGGCACGACATGGACATGAGGAGGCCAAGATGATCAGAGAGCTGGAGCACCTCTCCTCGGGAAACGGGCTGGGAGAGGGGGACTTGTTCGGCATGGAGAAGAGAAGGCTCTGTGGAGACMTTACAGCACCTTCCAGTACCTAAGGAGGCTGTAAGAGAGCTGGAGAAAGACCGTTTACAAGGGCATAAAGGGATAAGACAAGGGAGAATGGATTTAAGCTGAAAGATGGAAGATTTAGATTAAATATAAGCAAGGAATTCTTTACCATGAGGGTGGTGAGACGCTGGAAGAGGTGCCCTTTGTGTGTAACAAGGGTGACACTTCAGCTTCTGAAATCTTCTCAACAGATGCAGCCTGCTCTCTCAAGCTACTTGAAGAATGACAGGTTCCAGTTTGCGGATTCATGGAGTTTCCTTAAASAATTTAAGACGACATCACCCAAGCTCAGGAACCCAAACACAGACACACACACTGACTGCTAAGTGTTTTCAAGCCCTTTATTGCTATGGTGCATTTAAATACACTTGGCAAAACAAACCAGCACTAACATGTGTAATACTGGTATCATTCTAGTAACCCAAAACAGTAGTATAAAAACATATATAGTAATATTATCAAAACTGTTGTGACATTGTTTCATCTCAGAAATTACTTCCTTCAAAAAAATGTGAATTCTGAGAAAACACAATAATTTGCTATGGAATTAAGAGAGACAAAAAAACAGAGCCTGCTTAGAATAGAACATACCGATATGAACCTAAATTCAACTCACATGGTTTTGAAACTAGACCCAATCTACAGTCCAAAATCCTTTTACCTTAAACCTTTTTTTAAGTGTAGAAAAAAAATGGAATCTATTTACAAAGTAATTTTTTCAGATAAATGGAACCAGTAAAGGTTTCTCTTATGGGTTTTCTGTCTTGGTTTTGTTTTTTGTTTTTTTTTTTAATTTTTCTCTAATAGCAGCCCTGTCTGCTACAATAGAGTACCTGAGCTGTATTTCAATACAYAGTAACATTTTAGAGGCTAATTTTAGCAGTCATAAATGCAGATACACAGTCTTTATCCTCAGCCTACTGTGCTGTGGCACAGAGGACAGGCATTGTAATGGCTTGCTTCTTTGGCTTTCATACAGTGCTTACACACACTGCACATCCAGAATCGATACTCCAGGATAGGGGCTCCTGTTGCAACACACACAGGAAGTTTACCATCTCCACTGTGAAAAAAAAAAGAATAAATAAAGCTGAAAGAAGAAAAATGTGGTGTGCCAATTGCTGATTGGAAGTTAATAATTCATGTAACATTTCACTATTCACATAACCAAGTGTGTAAATATTCACACCAGAAAATGTTTATCCACAAAACCATACAGGCAATAAATCAGGACCAGCAGATCCAAAAGATGGTTTGAAAAGAAGCAGTAAAGGCCATATAAAGTTAATGTCTAAATAGACAGCTGCTAGTAAGATTCTGTACAGCTGCACAGTAGGATCAATCAAAACAGGTTAAAATCCTATTTGCTAAAAGAAAATTGATTCATAATCAATTTCCATTTTTACAAATTCCATGCTCTTAGCAGGAAACATGTCAAAGACTGTTGTGGGTACAGCCACTCCAAGGAAGTAGCCCTTAAGTGTGCCCTTAATACTAATTTTACCACTTCACATATTCATCTTTTCTCACTAGGTAGATTTAGGTAATTCACAAAACACTGAACAGTTTAGTTATTAATGTTTAGTTACAGTTTGTTAGTTATTAATGGTTAAACATTCTCTTGTTGATACTTGCATCACACCACCATGGTAAAACAAACAGTAACATTCTTACTTTGTCACATGACACAGTATCAAAGGTCCTAAAACTCCTGTGCTTTATCTACCTATCTTTCAACTTAAGATGAAGTTACATCTTTATGCCCTGTTCTTGAATGCACTTATTTTTCCCAAACAACATAGTGCTGTATTACCTTTTCTCCAAATTGCCTCATTTTTAAATCCAGTATTTGGTTTAAACTGCAAAGCACTTTAATTAATTTGGTCACACACAAAACCTGCTAAAACCCAAAATACAGACAATAGCAGAAGAAAAAGATGAGTCTTATCAAGGCATCATATAAAAATAAACCCACCTCTCAAGAACATCATCCTGATCCGTTTTTTTGGTAAAAGTTGGTCTATATCTTGTGAATATCTGTAGAGCAAGGTCTTCATACTGTTGCCTCTGCTCTGGCTTAAGAGTTTCCAAGGATTCTAGTTTAACAAAGGCTTTTGAACAAATATCAAATGCTCTGTTTGCACATGCACAGAGTGCCAGAAGGGAATAGATTTCAACTGCAGGGATAATGTCTTCATAATCTCGCAAATGAAGAGCTAAAAAAATGAAAAAATGAAATCCAAGGAAATTATTACACATCTTCTGAGAAGTGCAAGCATCTGTATGAAATAGTTCCTACTAGTAGATGATACAAATCCTACAAATTGGACAAAATGAACCACAGTCTTTTACTGACATGACTATGAAGCATTGTTTTAAAAAAAATTAAGGAGATTTGACTGGGAAATTGAAGTGTCTTCTTGAAACACGTTATTTCAATTGGTTGGTTGGTTTCTTTTAAAGATATTAGAAGGATTTGAAATCTTCATTACTTGGACAAAGTACCAGGCAGTGTTTGTTTCTCTAATTCCCACTGAGTTTTTTATGAAACTCTACAAGGAGGTCTGATGTAAACTCACGTACATCTTTTCATTTAAGGAGAGAAACAAAAGAGTCAGCAGAACAGATCGACCAATTTAACCAGGTAGTATTTGGAAAGATTTGCATTTTCTTCAGCAAAGCCCTTTCCAGATACTGTGGCTGCAGCCATTTTCAATTCATTATATGGTTTTGGTTTAAATTCCATGGATCTATTAAGAAATGAAAAATGTGGCAGCTATAAATGAAGTTTACATGCTGTGCATTTAGAACAGTTTCTTTACAGTGTTGAAAATGAATTCTCACCTGTTTTAAGTGCTGCATCTACAGAACCTTTATAGAGCTGTTTTTGTGCAAGTATGAAAAAGTGGTAAGCCTCAGCTCCTCGCCAAGCATTGTCTGCAAAGCGATTCGTTGAAGAAAGAACATCTTCTTCCAGCAAACCAGCCAAAGCTGAAGCACTCTGAAAACAAACCAGTATCACGAGTAATTTTTATATGAAACAGATACAGCAGGAAATAGGGATATGTGAAAAGAGCTTTTCTATACTTGGTGATTACACCAAGTATCTGTGTTAAGTAGGAGAAATCAAATGGACCTAAAGTGAGCATTGTCAGGCGTTCTGTACAGAGCACAGGCACAACATATGGTGCAGATTTTCAAAGATAAATATCATATACATGTGTATACAAATATATTTTGTGCACATCTGCAGACTGGTTCATAGTTTGGATTAATASTGCATTTCAACACCGGAGCTCTTAAAACTTTGTTTAAACTATTTCATTTGTGCATATGAAGATGAATGTGTGAGCAGAGAAAAAAAATTCTTCCATTTGTTTTCCCTGTATATGGAGCCATGTCCCTGCTGAATTACAGGCAACATAGCTTAATCTAATCACAGATCACCCTTTGGGATCAATACTTATTCCTAAATGACATGAGAGTCTTGCAGGAAAAAAAATGCTGGGGTTTCTTAGTCTGGTTTTCWTTGTTATAGTGATAACATTAGGAAATACACATTAAACTTAGGAAGAAAAATATCYATTAATACATACAATTCAAATGTTTTAAAATAATACTTAAACCAATACATTTTCATGGAGGACTTGCTTTAAAGAAAGCTTTGTTCTTAGCAGGAAAAAGGGTTATTAAAAAAAATTTAAGGCTCCCATGAATATGGCTTGCTTTATTCTGACTAGCTAGCACATACCAGGAAGGTGGGGGGAGGAAAGACACTACCTCTGAACTTTTCTCTTTAACTTTTCCCTTTTGTGCACTTTGCATTTGTTCATGACACTGTTCCATAAGTAAGGCTGATAGCACATAAAGCTTTTTAACTCGCAAAGGCTTCGTCCTTTTCTTTGACTCTTCATCTGCAATCTTAAAAAAAACAAAATAAAGGGATTTAATTCTCTTGGACAATTGCATGCTTGTACAAACCTAGGAAATCATGCCAAAGAATKATTCTGCCTTTAAATGTAATAATTTAGACTGCAAAAAGAACTATAAATGAAAATGTCAGAGTGAAGWATGCATATTATTCTATATTTATTTAGCTAACATATATATAAAGCCAGATTCTCAGGAAGGATAAATCAGTGTAACCATGTATAAATCTATTGACCTAGTATAAAAATAAACTAAAAAATAGCAATTTTTAAACAMATGCATAGCTTTCAATAAGGTCTGGTGGTTTTCCCAGAAAAGAAGAATGGCTTTTGAAAGGAACATATATTATATATATGCTGCTATAAATATTTGCTGTAAGAATTACATGTCACTCCTACAGACTTAAAGCTATGTAGAGAAAYCTCTGCAGCCAAACCAAATGTAAGCAACATCTTTATCTTAAAAGCACACCAAAGCAGTTTGTAATTGAAGGAACTAATAGAAGAAATAGCAAAATTTAACTTCTAGTTATTGACATTGTTACTTTTTTTTAAAGGAGATAAAAAKAGCTCCCATGATATCTAAAACAATGTGGACATTGCACCCCAAGTCA